CACCTGAACTTCTGTGGCTAAACATCAGGGGAATCATAGTCCTGGATGTACACGTGTCTAGAGATGGTCAAGACACACCATATGATGAATAACAAGATAGAATAGGCAACAATAGAAGCTCCTCTAACAGTGTACACTAGAAAGTACACTACTAATGTACAGTAAAGGATATGAGATGGGCAGTCATTGTGTGTAGTTGGATGTTGCTACTATTTAGTTTATTTTGTATTCTTACACTATATTTCATTTTACAAGTGTTCTGGTGCTTTATTATCCCCACTAGGAGGATCATGTGACGTGTGTAATGTGTGTGCGTGTGCGTGTGCATGTGTGCGTGTGCGTGTGTGTGCGCGTGTGTGTGTGAGAGAGAGAGAGTGAGTTTACACCACTGTGTTGTCCACGGCTAATCTCGCATTCTGCTGCAGCAAACAGCATAAAATGATATTATATTATATTATGTTATATTATATTAATATATTGCTGCCTAGCATATAAGTGCTAGAGCAGGTGGGGGAAACAAAATGTGCCTTGAAGCACCTCTAAAGCTGACTAATTAACACATTATATCTCTCTTTTATTATCTGTAATAGAAATGGAAAAACAACAACTGCACGCTGCAACTTGTTTCTCAACAAATTAGCCGGCCAAGTTTCCTTTTAAATTGGCTGACTGTCAAGAACTGAGCTAATTGCAGGTTCTAACAGTGCAGGATGTGTCAGCCATACACTATAAAGAGAGCGTCCCATGATCAATCTCCAGTGATTTCACACACTGCCAGGAGCGCTATCAGGTCTAGTTATATCAGTGATGTCCCATCGTTTCAGCCTGTAGCTCCTCCTGCTCTGTGTTCCACTAATGATGGGACAACATGCCAATCAGACGACAGGCTGTCTTCAAAGGGACTAAAGACATTAGAGAGAAGGTTCTAAAGTGAATAAGGGGAGGAAGACTCCCATGATCAGGATCCCTGTAGGCTACGTTGTCCTGGGAACAGCTGTGAGGTTCAAACAGGATCTCCCTGCAGTGAGCTCCCTGCTGGTGAATAAACAATACTGTCTTGATGGGAAGGACAGAAAAATAGAAACGGGTAAATATGTAGAGAGACACTCAACTTTCCTTAAGTATCCAGGTTCCTGATCATCAGACATAGGTTTGACTGTTCAAATCCAGCCTTTTCTGTTCAACGAGTCTTCCAATCTAAACTGTAAATGTTGTTCATCGACACATTCAAGCACTTTCTAATGTGACGCTTCTGACAGTCATTGTGCGAAGCTTTTACGTATGGTTGGCACAAAAAGGATTCTGGTCTAGTGTACCATCACAATTATGGATAAAGAGCTCCCGTTGCAAACATTGTTCAAACCCACAGAACATTATCTGAAATGATAGTTTCCAAAGAGTTCATTTTATTTATGTATTTACTTGTTTATTACTTAGTGATCCAATTGATCAAAGTGTTAAAGCAAGGTAAAGGAGAAGATCCCAGGGAACAGATATGTCTTGATGATGAATCTAATGGAAATGAATTTGAACCTGGATGGGTTTTTGTTTGTTTTGTTGTTGTTGCTTTTTGCTCTCTTGTTTCTTTCTTTTCTGTAAGTACTTAATTTCAAGAGTCACATACGGTGTTTAACTCATCCTACACACTTAGGAGCAGCGAGCTGCTGTAAAGCGCCCAGTGAGCAGCTCAAGGACACTTACACATGCGGATAGGAGCCGATCGTACCACCAATTGATTGAAGGAGGACCGGCTTGTGATGTATAATTCTAGAAATACGAGCTAAAGCATTTGTAATTGTCCTATGAAAATCCTCTGGCTGCCAATAAACAAAACAAAAGAGATCATTTAACTGCACTGGGGCTGATTCAAAATGATCTTTCTCTGCTGAAGGAGTCAAGGTGTTTGGTGAAAGTGTAATATAAGTGAGAAATACACACATCCACAGCAAGAAGCAAATATCCAGTTTAACCAACACCTTTCCGCAGCAGCATCCCGTGTGAGCCAGGCTCCCAACAAATCAATGCAGAGCCCCTTGCTCCACAGAAGCTAGCTTAGTTTCCATAGTTACGATCTGCACGAGCCCTCCTCCATCCCCCTTCCCCTCGCTCCCCTAGCTGTGCAATGCAGGAAGTGCAGTGATGGAGGATGCTGTGCGACAGTCTCCAGCGTGGCACATTAACCTACTTCCCAACCGGCCAGGAGAAAATGACCCGGATGCAGAGAGAGAGAGGACGAGGAAGTGGAGGAGAAAAAAGGACGGAGGAGGAAAGGGAGATGACAGCGTGGCAGACAGAGGGGACTGATGGGAGGAATGGTGGAGATGCAGAGGGGATGGAGAGAAGGGAAATGGAACATGAGCAATGGAGAGAAGAGACGAGGAAAAGAAAAAAGAGCAAAGGAGAGATGGAAGGAGAAGGAAAAAAGAAGAGACAAGTATATAGGATAGAAAAGTGTAATGTAAGATTGTAAATCTATTAATTATTGAGCAGGATTTCTAGTTATGCACGAGCATAAATGTTAACACATACTAATCTAATTTACAGTGAATGTATGAGGCATAATGGAGAATCCCCTGATAGACTAAACACAGTGGAACATGTTATAACCACAGAAAGATCAACATTGATCACACTTAACGGCTCTCCTGTTTTATCCTGCTGACATACCATGTGCAGAGCATCCCTCTGCATCCCCTTCACTCAGTGGTCCTGATGAGAGGACGGAGATTCCCTGCCTCGCTCTCATCTGCTCTGTTTCTCTTCACATTTTCAACCAATTCATGAATTACCAGAAAAACAAGATACAACCTTGAAGCGCATTGTACACTTCAACGGGCTCCCGCGTTCATTTCCCCCCAGCGGAAACAAAAGCTCGTCTCAGATCTAATCATCTGTGAAATACGAGGAGGAAGATGAGGAGGAAAAGAATAGTGGAGAAATGTGACAACTTACCGACATGAATGATGACACACTGTACCCTCTGTAGCAGCTCCTGGACCGACATCTCGTCTTCTCTCAGCCAGCACAGCATCTCAGGGTGTGGGTCGCCTCCACCCTGCTCTATCTCGCCGCTCTATCTTGCCTCTCTCTCCGCTGCCACGCCTCCTCCCGTCACCCTTCCTTTCCCCAACAATCTTCCGTCCTTTTGCTCCCTAATCCAGTTTTCTCCTGTGAGAGTTGTTATGTCCTCCTCTTTTCTGTCTGCCGCTTCTTGTTTCTAGTCCGTTCTTCTTTGAGATTTCCTTACATGGAGCCTCTCCTCTCCTTCATGACCCTTCTTCTAAAATCCAAACAATCACAAAGCCAGAGGGTGATGATGATGATGCCACTCCCAGCCCGTCAGCAAAATAGCAAACTTGCATATAAAATAATCTCGCTTGGCAAACAGGCACAGGTGATAACCAAGACAGAGAGTCAGGGAATACAACAGCAAGTAGCTCAGCCAGTCAGTAAATAACATAAGCGGTCAGTCTCTGTTTAGTGAACAAAGTGGCAAGTTCTTTATCAAGCAGACAATAAAAAACATGAGTCAGTGAATAAAAGAGACAATTTGTTTCTCCGCCAGCAAACTGGGCAGTTATTGGGGAAAAAAGCCCGAAGATATTGAAAAAGAGAGCCAGTTTGTAGGTAGATTTGTAAAAGAAGAGCAACTCAGTAATTATCTACAACAAAACATCAACCATGCAGAGTCCTCTTCATGATGCTGCAATATCCAGAAGGAAAAAGCCTCAAACACAATAATCCTCACAGCAAAAAGAAAGGGAAAATTACTCCAAAAAACATTTGAGACATGCCAAACCCAGAAAAATGACAGGCTGCTCCTGTGGAAGGGTGGGAAACCTTGATTCAACTCCACTTACAGGGACACTCCCCAGGTTTCCGGGTTGGAAAGCACTGCTGATGCTGATGCTGCTGCTGCTGCCTTGATGATGCTCTGTTTGCTCTCGTGGAGAAGCTGAGTCACAAAGACGGAAGACGAATCAGACTGTACCTGCCTGCAGGGCGGAGGAGGGAGAGACACAGAGGCCGGGGGAGGGTGGATGGATTGGGTGGGGGTTAATAGGTTCTTGGGGGAAATCCTGGTGACTGGAAGTACATGGATTGGAGCAGGTGGAACATTGAATCCATTAACTGAAGTATTAGTTTCATTAGATTTATGGTAGGGGAAATCACACATAATATATATATATATTTTTTTAACAACATTGTTTAAAGGTTGAAAGGACAGCATCCTTTCTAAGTGTTTCACCATCATGAGCTCTCTCACCAGAGCTCAAACAAAGCAAATCAATAGCCTCCACCATCATTCCTCATTCATGCTTTGGCTGCCTGGGTTCATTCTCTGCTACCAGGCTGCTCTGCTGATCCCGCTCCACATTTTGATGAGAGCCAACAATGCCAGGCAGAAACATTAGGCATCTCTCCGTGAGCCCATGTCTACTGGGATTGTGGGGATTTCCTGAGACAACCATTAGCCAGAGACATCTGCACTCAGCCTCAACCTGCCACTTAGCCAGCCAATTACAGGCCCTGCTGAAGGCTTTCACACAACACAAGCAGAACATAAAGCTGGGTGATGTGTGCTGTATCCAGTATGGTGATTCAGCCAGTTAAAGCAGTATTGTGCTCAAATGGGGAACATTGTTGACAAAGTACCTTTGCTTTTTTGTAAATTCAGATATAGATAGATAGATAGATAGATAGATAGATAGATAGATAGATAGTTACTCTATTAATCCCACAAGGGGACATTATTATTATAAATTTATTTCATAAATAGTTGTGAATATATTAACAGGGGATAGGGGTAGGGTGATGAAATAGCTGATAGGGAGAGGAGATCAGAGTAGGGAACAAGAGAGGAGAGAGAAAAAAGAGAAGAAAGGAATGGGAGGAGACGTGAGTGTGGAAAGGGAGGACCAACTACTGCATCCGCGGCATCTGATTGGATGCCACGAAATGTCGTCGGCGGAAGTTACTTTCTCTGTCAGAGCGGGAAGAGCGCCGCTTCTTACACATGTCAACAAGCGGACTGTTCGTGAAGCTGAGACAGTCATCAGAAGCAATATCCCTGTTCGGCCTTGCTACATATAAACTCTGACTGTAGAGATATAAAGTAAGTGCTTTGTGTCTATCTGCGGAACCAACAGCGAACTATTGGCTAACAGTAAACAGGCCAGCTATCGGCTAGCTAAGTCATTTTAGTTAGCGTTACCATTATGTGTAATGCTAACTGCAATGTATTCCATTGCAAATAAGATAGTTATGTCAATAATTGTCATTTTAATGCTAAACGACAACGGTAACGTAAGAACATGTCACTATTCCATTCGTTCTCTATATGGAGTCATTACACTGATTGTATTCACAGCTGACTGAGATTACTGAGCTCCGTTAACTCTACTGTTCGCTTCCAACCTCTAACGGTGTTATCTGAATTACGAGCTGATCATCCATTGTAAAATGAAACGTGTTGATTGTCACTCTTCCAATCAAACATGTCAAACTGACGTTAATATTGAGATCGTATTGTAGGAAGCTAATAACTCATGGAATTATTTGGTGACATCAGACGTTTTTATTTTATTTTTCGGCACTTGAGCAAACCACGTTTCACTTCCACATTGTATGCAATGCAGTGCTCAGTGGTGTTGTGTTCATCACAAAGTTGTAAATGTTAGGTGGTATTCTGACTGTATACTCAGCCGCCTATGTTGGTTAGTGTAATCACTTAGGTATCTGTGCTGACACTCTGTCTGTTTGTCCCTGTGTGATTCTGCTGCAGGAGGAGTCATGCAGGCCTTTCTGAAAGGAGCAGCTGTTCAGTCTACCAGACCCCAGAAAGACAAGGCAGCAGCAGGGCCCAGTACAGAGAAGAAAGCCAAGCCTATTCCATGGGTAGAAAAATAGTAAGTGTGAACCACAACAGGGTCAAAAAAGCACTCTGCACTGAAGAATCAGATGCCAGCAGAGCAAGGAGCAGCTTCATTCCTCAGGCGGTGAGACTCCTCACCTTGCTGGCTAGCTAGTGTTAGCTACATGGCAGTTCGGGACAGACTGAATGCTGCACACTACTGAGTCGCCCCCATTTTGTCTTTAGCTTCATAACAAGAGATGGCACCTTGCCAAAAAGCAGAGTGTGCACAGTATTTTTTTTATCCTGTAAAACTGTTAACATCACAGTCTGTGTAGCTGTTAACATCACAGTCTGTGGAGTGAAATTATGTTTTAGCATCATAGTTAGTGGGGTGTTGTTCTGCTCTGTGTTATATTTAGTAGTTTGAAATAGAAACACGAACAAATAGCAACACATGTCATATAATGTAGTCCAGTACAACACCACCCCTCACTATGACCTCCGTTTTAAACAGAAAATGTAATTTACACATGTTCAACAATGTGACCAAAAAGTGAACATTAAAGATACAAGTAATGGCAGGGCTGTTGTATACAGGTCTACCTAATACAGCAACCACTGAGTGTATATAATGCGGGCTGAGGATGAATCCCCAGCACATAACGTGCTCGATAAATAACAGGCTGTGTTTTTATGAATCCAGCAGGCCAAAGTGTGTTGCTGAGGTGGCCTTCCAGGAGGAGGTGGTAGCAGTTCTGAAGAAGTCTCTGGAAGGAGCAGATGTAAGTATCAGACTAACTTTTAAAAGTGGTTGCCAGGCTGGCAACGAGGCATCGGCTTTTGGTTGCCAAAACTGAAAAAACATTATTATGCTTACTGCTCTCATTGTATGAATCATTTCTGTCATATGCATTGAATGTGTTGTAACTCTGTTATGTTGTTCATTCTGTACACATGACATCTATCACACTTCTGTCCATGCTGATAGAGGATCCTCCTCTGTTGCTCTCCCTAAGGTCTCTTCCTCTTTTCTCCCTGTTAAAGGGTTTATTTGTGGAGTTCTTCCTGTTCTGATGTGAGGGTCCTGGACAGAGGATGTCACATGTGTACAGACTGTAAAGCCCTCTGAGGCAACTTTGTGATTTGTGATTTTGGGCTATACAAAATAAATTGAATTGAATTGACTTTAACAGCAGTGTTTAAATGTCACTAATGCAACACAAATATTGAAAATGTATTTATTTTGTGGAGCATGTTTGCTACATTGTTGTGTTTGCTGTCCCAGGCTCAGTGGTAGAGCAGGGTGGTCCTTCAATCAGAGGATCGGGAGTTTGATCCCGGCTCCACTAGTCCATGTCCATGTATCTTTGGGCAAGACACTTAACCCCAAATGTTTCCTGCAGGCTGTTCCTGTGGTGTATGAATGTTAGAGTCCTGATGGGCAGGGGACACCTTGCATGTTAGCTCCTCCCATCAGTGCATCAATGGTAACATGTAGTGTTAAAGCACTTTGAGTGGTTGGAAGACTAGAAAAGAGAAATACAAGTACAGTCCTTTTACCTATTCCTTATCTATTTATCATGTTAAAAATTGGTTGCCACTGAAAAGAAAAGGCATTTAGTGAAGAAAAGAACAGAAACCAGTGCTCACGTAAACTATCTAAATCCTGCAGTCTTTCTGTAGTTCTACAAAGCCGTGAAGACATCGTCTCATTAGTGTTTTGTTTCAATCGCAGCTTCCCAACCTGCTCTTCTACGGCCCTCCTGGAACAGGAAAGACCTCCACCATCCTGGCTGCTGCCAGAGAACTTTACGGGTGAGCGAGCAGGCATTCCAGCTCTTGGAATCACCAGAAGGCTTTAGTGTTAGATTGATCATTCGCCTGCTTTCTCGTGTATGAATTCCGTCGTCCTCTACTGTCTCTCCTCCAGTCCACACTTGTACAGACAGAGAGTGCTGGAGCTCAACGCCTCCGACGAGCGAGGCATCCAGGTTGTCAGGCAGAAAGTGAAGAACTTTGCTCAGCTCACCGTGGCCGGGACTCGCCCAGAGTGAGTCAGTGTTGATAGCTCAAATGCAGGGCAGTTTTCCAGAGAGTTGCTCTGTAACAACCATCTGAATGTACCTTCATCGTTTCAGATGTATGTCTCTCACTAAATGTCTAAGTACTGCTGAAACCTCCCGTCACTGTGTTTTGCCGCATTCGCAGTGGGAAGCCATGTCCTCCTTTTAAGATCATCATCCTGGACGAGGCGGACTCCATGACGGCACCGGCTCAGGCTGCTCTCAGGCGAACCATGGAGAAGGAGTCCCGCACCACACGCTTCTGCCTCATCTGCAACTACATCAGCAGGTGGGCTGACCCATCGTGAACACGCAGACACACTCTGTGTGTGACCGGTCCTCACCGCTGCACTGTGTCTGTGTTCTCCAGGATTATTGAGCCGCTGACCTCCAGATGTTCCAAGTTTCGCTTCAAACCTCTGGCCAATCAGATCCAAGAAGAGCGCCTGCTGGAGATCTGTGAGAAGGAGAACCTCAAGTACACCAAAGAGGTAAACGATTCATTGAGCCCCATTTACAAAAATCCTCATCTCAAACGTTAACTGCATTTCGTTTAGCACCCGTGTTGCACAATGACAATAACTGATCCTTGAATCCTTGAAAGTACAAGAATAAGATTGGTGACTGCCACAAATTCACTTAAAAGATTACTTCACCGCCAAAATGACCATTTGTGCGTCAGTTACTCACTCTGTTTCCTTGAATTCTTGGGCAGTACTTAGTTTTCTCTCATGCCTCTAGGGTGAATCTAAAGACGGAGAAAGGTCTTGATGAATTGAAGTAAATGGGGGCCACATTTATAACAACAGCGAAAATATATGAAAACGTCTGTTTACAAACTCACCCAGCTCATGTAGTATAATCTAAGTGTCATTTAGAGAGGCGAAGTCACGCCACTGTCCCCCGTAGGACCTCGTTTTGGGAAAAATATGTGTACGTACTGTATATGTTCACTGTGGAGGCCTGAGAGTAAAGCAACATTTTAGGTAACGCGGGGCGAGTACCTGATATACACAGGGACATTTTGTTGACTGGTAAAGAGAATGAGTCTCAATATCTTCCAAAGCCACCGTATACTGGCAGCATGTCCCCTTAAGAGACGGAAGTAGGACAAACTTGGATAATTAAGATGGAAAACAATAAAAAGATTCTGTCCCTCCTGTTCATCCTGCCTAGTTCTGTTGGTTTGAACTGTTCGTCAGCTAAGCAATGTTTGTGAATTGCTTTTCTATGCAGCATGCATTTCAGCTACGTTTCTCAACATTTGGACACATGTCTCATGGAACACATCCACTTCTTCTGTTAACCAATGCTGCGGTCTACACCGGCCGCTTGACAGCACGCACTTCATGCCTGTAACTGCAGCCTGAAGGTTCTCTTTGGGCTCCAGGTGTGGCAGAGAACAGCGACTGCCTTCTCTGTTCAGCTGGTGAAGTCGATGTTCAACTGTCTCTCCTCATCCAGAGCATAGCAGCCTTGGTGAGGGTGTCTGATGGAGACCTGCGGAAAGCCATAACCTTCCTCCAGAGTGCTGCGCGCCTCAACGTGGACAAGGAGATCACAGAGAGAGCGGTCGTTGACATAGCCGGGGTGAGACGTCCTTCTTCCTGTCAGATAGGAGACTGGTTTTTATTTTTATTTAGCAGTCGTGTCACCTTGTTGTCATGTTCTCTTTCACTGCAGGTCGTCCCTCCCAAGATGATTGACAACCTGCTCCAGATCTGCTTCACAGGCACATTTGAGAAACTAGAGGTTGCCGTCAGGGTAGGTGTTCTGACAAATGCGCGCCACTCTGTTTAGTGTGACACGGTTTTATGTTCTTCTCACTCGTTCAGGACAAAGACTCTAAAATATTGAAATGTTGAACGTCTCCCCGTCAGAACATGGTGGATGAAGGCTATGCAGCCACACAGATCCTGAGTCAGCTCCACGAGTCTATCATAGAGCAGGAGCTGAGCGACAAGCAGAAGTCAGCCATCACCGAGAAGATGGCAGTAAGTGATGTGAAGCAGCGCTGCTTGAGGTGCAGCTGCTCTTTGACTCTTGACTGCTCTTGACTCTTTCTACACTAATGTTGTAACTGATGTAAAGGAGGGCAGGGAAATCATTGCATCACTTAGCAAGTAGGAGCATGGTATTGACTTTAATATTGAGTATCTAATCCAATCTGATACTTATGTTTACCTAAAGGTTGATTAGATACATAACTGACGCATAATAATCGTTTTCTTAATTCAAATACTACCTGATCAAAAGCATTGAGTTGATGAGCTTAAATTATAGGTATAAGAGTGTAACATCTGTAACACAGACTACCACGGCAAGCCTGATGAGCAGCATCTAGAGTTTAGCTAACATGATTGTACATGGTATAGTGCTTTTCTAGTCTTTTCACACTACATGTCATTCCCCCATTCGTACTCTGATGGCAGGGGCTACCATGCAAGGTGCCACCTGCCCATACTAGCATTCATACCAGGTGGCAACCTCAGTGCCTCTGCCAAGTGAAGCCGATGTGGAAGAGTCTTAAAACCTGCATTGTCTCTACTGACCACTAGGGGGCGACTCCTCTGGTTACAAAAAGAAGTCTGATTGTATGGAAGTCTATGAGAAAACGACTCTACTTCTCCCTTGATTTTATTATTACCTCACTGATAAATCATGATGTTCATTGAGTAAATGATGGTCCATTTAGAGTCAAACAGACCATAGAGCAGAGTATGCTTTAGGGCGGGGCTACTGTGATTGACAGGTCTCTACCAGAGACGTACAGGTGCATCTCAATGAATTGGAATCGAAAAGTTAATTTATTTCAGTAATTCAATTCAAAAAGTGAAACTCATATTATATAGATTCATTACACACAGGGTGATATATTTCAAGCGTTTATTTCTTTTAATTTTGATGATTATGGCTCACAGCAAATGAAAACCCAGAATTCAGTATCTCAGAGAATCAGAATATTGTGAATAAGTTGAATATTATAGACTCATGGTGTCACACTAATCAGCTAATGAACTCAAAACACCTGCAAAAGGTTTCCTCAGCCTTTAAATGGTCTCAGTCTGGTTCAGGAGGCTGCACAATCATGGGGAAGACTGCTGACTGGACAGTTGTCTAGAAGACATCATTGACATCCTCCACAAGGAGGGGAAGCCACAAAAGGTCATTGCTAAAGAAGCTGGCTGTTCACAGAGTGCTGTATCCAAGCATATTAATGGAAAGTTGAGTGGAAGGAAAAAGTGTGGTAGAAAAAGGTGTACAAGCAACAGGGATAACCGCAGCCTTGTGAGGATTGTGAAGCAAAGCCCATTCAAGAATTTGGGTGAGATTCACAAGGAGTGGACTGCGACTGGAGTCAGTGCTTCAAGAGCACTGACTCCACGCAGACGTATCCAGGACTCGGGCTACAACTATCGCATTCCTTGTGTCAAGCCACTCCTGAACCAGGGACAACGTCAGAAGCATCTTACCTGGGCTAAGGAGAAAAAGGACTGTTGCTCAGTGGTCAAAGTCCTCTTTTCAGATGAAAGTAAATTTTACATTTCATTTGGAAATCAGGGTCCCAGAGTCTGGAGGCAGAGTGGAGAGGAACACAATCCAAGTTGCTTGAGGTCCAGTGTGAAGTTTCCACAATCAGTAGGGGTGCAACGGATCACAAACCTCACGGTCCGGTTCGGATCACGGTTCTTGAGTCATGGTTCGGATCATTTTTCAGATCAACAAAGAAAAGGGGAGGAGACAAATAAAACTTTTCTTTCCATTTATTAATTAAAGAACTTCAAGAACTTTGAGCTATAGTCTTACATGGAAACAAAAAATATTGAAGATGTCCAATTTGAAACAAAATGAAATAAATAAATAAAACATTCAAGAATATTCAATTCTGTTAAGTTTAAGTGCAACATGAGGTATGTTGATATCCTCGTCCTTTGATCAATATTGAAAGAAAGAAACAGCCAGTGAGCTAGCTTCCACCGTTTCAACTGAACTGAACTGCTCGGCAACAACTTGGGTCTATGTTTACTTCCTGTCAGGTTATGTCATTCAAACACAATGTTTACCATTACTGTGACATTATTTTCAAAAAGATGAGAATATCTCCCATTGCCTGGGGAGAGGGTAAACCTTTCTGTAGTGATATTACTATTGGGCCTGTCTAGCTTCCACTCTGCTGCTTCTGTTAGCACCTTCCCCAGGTGTGTGTCTGTGTGACTCTCACAGAGGGGGCGTGTCTGCAGCACCGGACTATGAATCACTCCGCCGTGGTGAAAGCAGTCTCTACAGTCTTTTCCTTCTCATAGAGGTCTGGAACAAGCTTCATACTGAAGTGGGTGCGTGAGTGGATTTCGTAGTGTGGCTCAAGCATTTTAACCAGATTTTGAAATCCTTTGTTTTCCACAACAGAGTGTCCCCCGTCACTGACAGACGGGATGGTGGCTCTTCATATGTGTGGACATGCCGATGTATTGCTGTTATCGTATGTCTTTCTCTTTAAATAACGCCTATATACCATAACGGTTTCGTCCACCACCCTCATCCGTCATTATAAGTTACAGGGAAGACAAAATGCTCCCAAACTTGCGACTTAAATGACGCTGGGGGCTTCTCAAGCTCCTCCGCCCGCCATGACTTTCGCCGTTAAATGCTTTTAACCTGCTCCATTCACGTGAACACACTACTGCTTTATATCTGTTCACTGACACTCTGCATTGATATTCAGGGACTTGTTACTTGAAAAGAACAGCAGGAGTAAAACTTTATTACACACTATGATGATTAAACTGTAAAAAAAAAAGAAAAAAAATACTCAATTGATCCGCGGTTCACGAGTGATCCGAACCGTGAGGAGTGATCCGAACCGTGAGGAGTGATCCGAACCGTGAGGGGTGATCCGCGATCCGTTACACCACTAACAGTCAGTGATGATTTGGTGAGCCATGTCATCTGCTGGTGTTGGTCCACTGTGTTTTATCAAGTCCAAAGTCAGCGCAGCTTTCTACCAGGAACTTTTAGAGCACTTCATGCTTCCCTCTGCTGACAAGCTTTATGGAGATGCTGCTTTCATTTTCCAGCAGGACTTGGCACCTGCACACACTGCCAAAAGTACCAATATCTGGTTTAATGACCACGGTATCACTGTGCTTGATTGGCCAGCAAACTGGCTTGATCTAAACCCCAGAGGGAGTCAGTCGATGGGCCTAAACCCCAGAGGGAGTCAGTCTATGGGGCACCTCAGCAGTGCCACAGGCTGAATGGCCTCCGTGCCGTGCCACGCCGCACTGATGCAGTAATTCATGCAAAAGGAGCCCCGATCAAGTATTGAGTGCATACTGTACATGGACATACTTTTCAGTAGGCCAACATATCTTATGTCTTATGTAATATTCTATTTTTGTGACATACTGAATTTTGGGTTGTAACATGCTTCCGTTACCACCGTGGGGTTTGTTAGCACAATGACACCAGCACACTCGGATACAGTTTCTCAATGTCTTTATTCTTCCACAGTTCAGTCTGTCCACGGCCGTGCATTCTCCTGCAGCGCCTCCGAGTGCACCCACCGCGGATGCTCTGTGGATTGTCCGTAGTCTTCTCCACAGCTCTCCCGGCCTGTGTCTCCGGCTCTTATAGCAGCGAGACACAATCAACGATTGACTCCAGCTGAGGCTAATTAAGCCTCTTCCCAGCACCGTTCCCTGAACCACTCCCCCACTCTGTTCCCTCTGCAGCTGAGCCCAACCACCACATGGGTTTTCATTAGCTGTAAGCCATAATCATCAAAATTAAAAGAAACAAACGCTTGAAATATATCTCCGTGTGTAATGAATATATAATGAGTTTCACTTTTTGAATTGAATTACTGAAATAAATTAACTTTTCAATAATATTCAAATTCATTGAAAAGTTGAAAAGTCTCTATGTAACTCCTCCGCATTCCAAATATTGTCACTTCTGTTCATTGGTTGCCAAAAAGCCAAGATTGTGACGGCTGTATTCCAAGATGGCGACGGCCAAATCACCAAACTCGAGGCTTCGAAACATCCGTCCACAAACCAATGAGTGTCATGATAACTACGTCCACTTCTTATATACAGTCTATGGTTCATACACCGGAATGCATACAAGTCATACATTTGTTATTTTTAGATCCACAATACTCCGTTATGTCATGTATAGCTGATTCAGATAGACTCTCCATCTACAGTATATACTCTCTCTATGCATACATCCTCAGTTTGTGCTTGTGTTTCCTCTCTGGTTCAGGTGGTGGGTAAGTGTCTGACAGACGGTGCAGACGAGTACCTGCAGATGTTGAGTCTGTGTTCACTCATCATGCAGCAGGCCTCCCAGAACAACTAGACTCCCCAGGAAGAGGAGCACCATCAGCTTCCAGCAGGACCAGGACCTCAGACCTTCACTTGGTTTGTTCACAGCTGTGGTTTGAGACGTCCACCAGAAGACACCAAGTGATAGTGGTGTTTGACTGTCAGAGACCACAGCTGGTTCTCTCTAGATTTAATCTTTCAAACCCTCTGTTGAAATCACCCATCAGATGTCTCTTTATTCACTCTTTCATGTAACTACTTAACAACAGATCTTTGTACACTTTTGCATTTTGTTAAGTAATAAATGGTTTTGTATATTTTCATTGTTTGTTTTCTTGAAGTCATTGCTTCTTGTGTCATCACGGTTCATCAAGACTTTATTTGGAAGTCTCAAACCTCTCATGACCTCAGCAACTATGAAAATAAATTAGTCTCAATGTGACAATGTTTCATGATCTACAATTAACATTTACAAATGTTTATGACAAGTATGTGTATTTATGATGTTCAAAATCCATTGTCTAATCCATAAACCTTATTCAACAAATGGAGGATACCAGGCATCCCTTTACCAGACTTGTGCCTGCGTGTCTCGTCCTCCATCACGCTTTCTGTCAGTACCCCTAACACTGCTACTGCACCTAGTTACACTGCCAATAGTACCGTATTTTTTAGGCACCTTAGCAGTACCTTTCTCTCACTGAGATATGCATATTTTGAGCAGTGCCTGAAGATAAGGAACTCATTTCTACCTGGGAAACATTTTTGTTTTTAAAGGATGAATATGAAGGACAAGATGGTTTTATTAAAAACTTGAAAAAACAACATAACAGCATATGATACAAGAGATAATTGAGCAAGAGACATTACACGAAACCTGAGGAAACCTGATTCTGTGTCACTGCAGAGAGAGGTGCAGGAACACAAGGCAGAAGTGACAAAAAAGTGAATCCGCAATACGTGCATGCACCCACACATCCAAAACAAGCGTCTTACAGAAATGGTTTGTGAGTTATGGAAGAGGGCGTGGCTTATGTACAGGGGGGCAGGGCCTACCCACACCGATGAAAGAGTAGCTCTTCTGAGATCATTGATGCATCCCACAGCCGTATAGGACAAACAATTCTTGAGTTTGGCCATGGAACGTGAATCTGTTCAGAAGATACGTGCCTTTTTGCTACAGACCACTCTCACTGACACCTTTTGTTTGCCGATTGGCATTAACACAAACGCACCTCCATGCCCACACACTTGACCTCCATGACAGATTTCAGCCTCCAAGGACCAAATCTGGTGGGGAAATTTTTACGGACCGACAGAGTGAGCTATGGAGCTGCCGGTAAAGAAGAATAACAAAGTAAGAGAATGTAATGCTTTTTTTTTTTTTTTAACGGGTGGGAGTGGGGGTGTCTGAAGATAGCTGTGCTGCAGTGTGTGCTCATTTGGGATTGACAAACTTTTTTTGAGAATTGTGCTGTCAAATTTAAGGGAGGGTATATGGGGAACCTGCCCTCTCTCCATTAGCTGTCTTGCATTAGTTGTGTCCCACAAGCATCCCATCACCACCAGCACCAAGCCAATGGAACACTCATCAGCATGGAAAGGTCCTGACAGTCTCTCATTCAGTGTCTTTCTCTGGTCTTCTTCACCACCACCTTGCGGTAGGTGGGGGATGAATTTACTGTGGTGGTAGAGGAGCCCACCACGGTGCTCTGAGACCCAGCGGATGTGCTTCCCTTGCTGGAGAGGAATCTTTGAGAGCCAGAGACGCCACTCTTCTGGGACAGACCTCCTGCCTCCTGGACCAGAGGCCCTCCACTGCTTGTTGACCCTCCGACCACCAGGACCCTCTGGGATCCCGAAAGCCCTCCTGGCTGCAGAGTACCCCCCTGCACGTAGCTCATTGACCCTGCAGGGACTTTGCCCTCCACCATGATCATGGTCTGGGAGCCAGAGAGGTTCCCAGTGTGGATCAGGTTGGCACCGCCCCCCTGAATTCCACTCCTGTCCACCAGCACCATGTGGGAGCCCTGGGCTTGTCCGCTGGACATCACAGTCTGCCCCTGAACAACCATGCCTTGGGCAGGTCCAGTCTGGGTGCCGTTAACCAGTACCATGCCCTGCAGGTTGGTGGCTGGTGCTTCTGCCAGCAGGACGGTGTTCTGAACCTGTGGCTGGACTACGAAGTGTGTCGGCTGCATCATAGGGCTGGTGGTGTAGTAGATGGGCTGCTGCTGCTGCGGCTGCAGCAGCAGCATCTGGCCTTGATTCACCATAGTACCCCCATTCCTCACTGTGGTCATCCCTTCTTTCACTGTGGCCGTGCTTTCCTTGATCACCTGAGAATGCTCAGATGAATCACTGACCACAGTCTGGGTGACGGTGGGCTGCTTTGGTGGAAGGGCCTGCTGTTGGGTGGACATCAAACTTGATACTGAGGTCTGAGTGTTGATGGAAGCACTGGGCGGAAGAGTGAACACTTGTTTGACTTCGGTTGGGATCTTCTTGCCTCCGCACACTTCAGCCAGGGTCTTGAACTTGGTCCCGAGGTCATCGAGGAAGTGCAGGTCATTGTCAGACTCCAGGAGGCTGCAGCAGCCCACTGAGCCAGCAGAGGAGCCCTGGCCCTCGTAGTCATAGACCAGAAGACCGTCCTTCACTCCAAGGTTCTCGTTTCCACTGGCCACCTTCTGTTGAAACAGAAAAAGGAAATCATCACATTTTGTGTTGATTGAGCAGCCCTTTTTTGTGAAACTGTGAATGCAGCATCACTCAAAATCAAATACCCTCTTAGGAATAGGTTCTTAAAGGTACAGGCCAAACTTAGCCTTTGCTTTAACGGACAGGGCGAGTAGTCACAGTGTGACGTTTTTTTGTTATGGCAAAGACATTTGCAGTTATTTGTTACTACTATGGACTACAGAAAGTAAGAGTAGATATATGGAAATGATTGCTCACCTGAGAGTAGTACTGTCCCAGGAAGTGGTCTGGCAGAGCCATGCCGTCATACATTCCTCCACCTACTCTGGAATCTCTGCCCCCACTCTCAGAGAACTGGTTCATATCCAATGTTCGTTCTGTGTAGCCACTTCTTCCATAGACATCATATTGGTTGGCTCCGTTCACCACATTCACGGAGTTTACGGGTTTCTGGGTGCCCCAACCTATCACTGAGCTACTAATGGCCGTATCCATGCCCGTATCTATGCCCCTATCCATGTTGGCCTTATTTCCACCATCTATTTGTGTTGGCATGTTCAGGAGTGGCACCGCCTATGAAAGACCAATGATTAAAATGTTAGAACAGGGTCAGCAGTTATTTTGCTGACTTGAATCAAAAATCACTTTATGCAGCTTTCAAGCAGACATCATCTCAATAGCAAGCGGCCAGTATGTATGCCAATATTCCTGTCCTCAACAGTGAAGGTGGTGTGTGTAAAAGGTAAACCTACCGTGTTCTCCCCCTGGCCCTCAGTGTGGTAGTTAATGAGGTGTGATTTGGCACCGAAAGGTATCTCAGCGAAGCTCCCTGACCCACCCCCACAGTTGCAGAAGAGCAGCAACAGAAGGCCGACTGTAAAAACAACAACAACAAGGTTTTAGAGTAATTTAAGGACTCTTAAAGAGCAGCAGGGACTGCAGTGCTCTGGGCTCCTCCAAAACAGAAAGTACAGTTTCAGTTAACCTGACACAATATGGTGTTGTCTCTCATGACAGGAAACCAGTTAGTTCTTTACCAACATCGGGTGGTTCTATAACCATTCTGGTGTTAGTCTCATGTTGTAATTCAACTTTTTTCTTAACTTGTCTGGCATCTTGAGAGTGTGTTGTCATATTTGGCTACTGCCACCTGCTGGACAGACCCACAATCACATCTAGAAGTAAAGAGCTCTCACTTAAATGGAAGGTAGAGCTTCTTTAGTTTCTGAGGGATAAAAATCAAATCCTTCGCATTTGATTGGACTGCTAAAAAGTGGGCTGGCTTGTGATATGGAGCTACAGAGGATTGTGGCTCCACACACCTCCCCTTAGCTAAAAGTTGCAGATTGATTGATTGATGGATGTCATGACATTGTTGGTTGAAATTGGTTGCTACCAGTTTATGTAAGAACGCGTCATATTGTTTTTTACAGGAAGACATTTATAGTTATATTATATTGTTAAATATTGTTATATTGTTTAAATAGGTTAAGAGGGTTGTCTGGTAACCAGAAGGTCAATAGTTCGATCCTCGACTGGGACATGTCATGTGTCGAAGTGTCCCTGAGCAATACACTGAACCCCAGGCTCCCCGGGTGCCTGTCATTGGCAGCCCACTGCTCCCTATATACAGGGATGGGTCAGAAGCAGAGACAAATTTCCATTTTAAAGACCCAGTAAAATGAAAAATATATTTTCACAGTTTTAATCCTGTGTGCTTGTGTTAATTGATTGTTTTTTATGTAAAAAAACAATATTTATCTGAGTATTTTAACATTAAAACCCCTGGTTTTTTTCTTGTGTAGAATGGTTTCAAATGTTTGATGACTCATTCTCTACTCAAGGGCCTTTACAAAAACGTCTCATACATATATGTGGATACTCCAACACATATCTTTGGCCTGAACTCCATTTTCATCTCAACTTCAGCTGTCTTGGGATTGTCCTGAGCACAGCGACGGTGTTTGATCACACAACCCTTCACCAGAATGAGCATCACATCACACTTACGTAGTAGCAGCAGCAGGCCCAGGAAAAGCAGTCCGATGCCTGCGGGTCCTAACTCCGCTCCCCTGCTGGGCTGACCGTCGGCGCCTCGTTTTCCACACACCACCCCGTCCTCACAGGTACAAACTTGGACCGACGCCTTCTGTGGCTCTGGACAGGCCTTTCCCTGCTGGTCCTTCACCATAAAGGTCACCTCATAGGAGCCAGGCCATATGGGCCCCAGGGCCCTCAGGATAGCTCCAGTTTCTGCAAGAAACAGGACAAACATGCAAAGTGTAATAAGTCAACGTGCTTTACTCCAAGGTTTACAGTATGCTGGATTAAAGACTCAAGTCTCAACTGTATTTTAAAAACAAGTTTCTAGATATTTTGGTAGACCACTGGTCTAAGATGCATACCAGGCACCTTAGTCGCTAAATTATAAATAATACTCTGTACATATTACATATACATATCTGTACATATATTTAAAAATGAACCCTCCCCCAGTACAGTTGTCAGGAATGGGGATATTAGTTGCAGAGACCAAAACCTTTTTTTGTATCAGGCTAAACATGTATTTTAACATGGGGGTCTATGGGGATTGACCCGCTTTGGAGCCAGACTTACAGTAAGTGGCCATTTGAGGAAGTGCAGTTTTTGATACTTCCATGTTGGCTTCATTTCACAGAGACATTTCTAACTTTATATCTATTTGTATGTTTGTATATCTCTTTACATTACTTTTCAATAGATGGCGATCTCCTCCTCACCATTTAAATGCTCCACCTGCCATTTGCCCTGAGTTTCCTCTGGGATGATGGCAAAGTCAAACGGAGGCCCATTCGGGGAAGAATCCTCATCTCTAGCAATCACAATGACTGCATCAGCCGGGGTACAGATGGTCTTGATGTTGCTGGTCAGGGTGGGGCAGTTGTCATTAAAATCCTCCACCTGGATGGCGACTGTGCCAGTGGCTGTTTTAGCAGGCATGTCTGTGTTGGTAAAAAAACAACAAATAAAAACAGATCATTCAGCATTTCCTTTGTTTCTAATTCCATTCTTCAGACAATGTCTGATCTTTCTTCCATGCAGCTGGGGAAACTCTTGAATGAAAATGTCAAAACTGCACAAATTTCATAATATTATTGTCATGAACTTTGCCACTATGCTGCTGAAAGCCATCCTCAGAGCAAACTTAGCTCTACTGTTGGCAAGGCTGTAAGATTAGCAAAACGCTTGAGGTCTGATCCTTAACTAGCTACTTTTCATTAAGAAAACCAGTATTAGAGCTGGAGCAGAAACATGGTGGTGTAGAGTGTAGCCTACCGTCTGTGATGCAGAGCACTTTAGCTATGTATGTCCCATTGACCAGGTATGGAGATTCTCTATCAGGCATCTTGTTCAGTTTGATCTCAGCTGTCTTTGGGTCGATGGTTAGCCAGTTGTCAGGGTCCGAGCCCTTGGCATACCTACATCAGAAAAAGTCTGTGTCAGATATTAGCGGACGTTGTAGTGTTAACTGCAGAGGCTTTGTGTGTATGTTTGTGTGTGCACTGACCTGACATTCTCTGCCGTTTTCCCAGTGTCTCCATCTATTGCCGTGTAGGTGGCAATAACATCATTCATGTTGAAGGAGCTGCCTCCCTCTGAGATGGGAATGGCTTTCACTTTGGGATCGAAACTTGGCCCTTCGGGCTGGTTCTTTACTTTGATTTTGACTGGATAGGTTTTAATATTGGTCCCCGATGATGATCCCCCAGATCCACCTCCTCCCCCAGATCCACCTCCTCCCCCAGATCCACCTCCTCCCCCAGATCCACCTCCTACCCCAGATCCACCTCCTCCCCCAGATCCACCTCCTCCCCCAGATCCACCTCCTCCCCCAGATCCACTTGATCCATCATAAAACGAAGCCTCGTTCCTCACAGCTATTCCTAGGTCAAGGTCCTTCACATCCTCATAATCCACAGCCTGTGAGAAAGCAAGCACAGAGTTATTGTTGACAGCTTTGCTGTTTGTGCTTATTTGTCAATACAAGCTCAGAAAATTGAGTTAGATAAGGACTGAATTGCAGACATGTTTTACATCTATCCATAATGTTAAGATCATGTGCCATGGATGAGCTGGGTCTTCACATCAAACAAAATCCATTGTTTATTTTTTAATTAGCTTATTAAATGCATTTCCGCAAAACAGTTGCAGCAATAATGGGTCTGTGTATTGAAGAGATATTTTTGTATCGTGTTTTTGTGCCAACATTGTATGTAAATCAGTAAATACTGATCAATATGATGATAGGTTTATATGAAAGTCCAAAAGATACTTGTTTGTGTGTCTCTCCATATGTGTTGGTCTTAAAACCAGCAACATCTGCTTCTGGTAGGTGAAGCCAATGCAGAGATGTTGCATTCTCTCTAGTGTCCACCAGGGGGCGACTCCTCTGGTTGTATAGAAGTCTATGAGAAAATGACTCTACTTCTCTCTTGATTTATTACCTCAGTAAACATTGTAAACATGAGTTTATGGTCTCAATCTCTAGTTTCAAGTCTTCTTCAATACAGCATGATGTTCATTTAGTACATTATGGTCCATTTAGAGTCACACAGACCATAAAGCAGGGTATGCTTTAGGGGCGGGGCTACCACATTAATCCCACAAAAGACGGTGATACTAACACATACGATTCTTGTAAATTAAAAGGCAGTACCTTGTCGAGCATCAGGATGCCCTCGTTGGTCACTGGGTCTGTTGTAATGCTGAAGTACCCCGCCTCGTTGCCTTTGACAATGTCAAACACAGCTCTCCAGTTCTCTGTGCCCTTCAGGTCCAGGTCTTCTGCTTTGAACCTCATCACCTCATTATTCTGTGTGTTCTCCTCAATGCTGCCCTCATACTGCAGGAAGTAACAGGACATTTTTGTTGATTAGCATTTCTTTGACTTTAATGTGTGATCTGATTTCCATATTTTCTAAACATTGAAACCATTCAACTCTGAAACCCCTCATGGAAACCATTTCCTCTTGCACCAATAGTGCACGTTATAACATGTTGATATAGAAGAGTGAGAGACAGAACACTACCTTCTGTTTTTCCAGAGTGGGAAGGTTGTCGTTCACATCTTGGACATTAATGGTAAACGTGCTGATTGCACTGTTTCCCCCTGGGCCGCCATTTAAGTCTTGACCTTTTACCTTCAGAGTGTAGTGATCTGTTGTCTGAAATCAGAAAGCAGGCTAGAATTAGAAGAGTTAGAGCAGGGACTCAGGACTTTGCTGTATGTTTCAGTCAAATTCCCCGAATAATCCAATAGCATGACAAATGATCGTGCTATCAAGTACTGTTAGGTACTATATAAAACATGCACCTTACAGGCGACAAGACATCAAAGACAATTGTGTCTTTAAAGACACTTCAAAATGAACTTGAGCTGAAGCAAAGTATATGAGAGGTGAACTAGAACGGTTCCCTTCTGAGCTGCACGGCGGCGATGGGTGTCTCTGGTATGTCTGAGATGTTTGTTCTTGCTTGGTGCGTTTCGTTGCCTGTTATCAAAATATGAAATAACTACCAATCGTGGACTGTCTGATGTCCTAAACACACAAAGGAGCAGTGAACAGTGCACCTGTTGATGACCATCGGCTCGCCGTAAACTCAGGAAACAGGAAAGCACACTTCCACAGCTGTGCAGACGGGTATGGTGCTTTTTTGCAGAGGTTTCCATTGATATTATCACTGAATTAAATGTTGTTGAACTCCTTGCCCCAAGCGAAGGAGTTCAATATCTCGGGGTCTTGTTCACGAGACGTTGTACCAGACCACTGGAAAGCAAAGCTTTCAATTTACAAGTTCACTTACGTTCTAACGCTCACCTGTGGTCACGAGCTTTGGGTAGTGACCAAAGAATGAGATCACAAACATAAGTGAAATGAGTTTCCTTCGTAGGGTGGCTGGGCTATCCTTAAGCTCCATTTATGCTTGATGCATCTGCGAAAGTGGCCGCACGGCCAAAATGATGTCACACCATCAGACAAGGCTTTTGTGTTGTGGTGGTTCTGTTATATACTATTTCATTGTATATACTGTGCATTTTCTTTATTTTTAATATTTGTCCGCTGTTATTTTCATTGTATATACTGTGCATGTTTATACTTTATATTTTAATTTTTTACTCTGTTACTTTAATTGCTTAGGTATATTTTTTTGCTGCTGTAACAAACTAATTTCCCCTTGCGGGATGAATATAGTGTCTGTCTTGTCTGTCTGTCTGTCTGTCTATACCACGTCAGCGCATTTCCGTGCGAGCGTCCTTGCAGAAAGTATAACCGAGGCTGCGTACGAGACGGCTGCGCACACCACCGACACGTTGCCGTTCTGTTTACACCGTCCACTTGGAGGACGGATTCCCCACATGCACATTAGATCGCTACGTTACCACTTAGTAAGTAGTACCTCATGGACTAGTCTGCACAGAACCTATGCATACACCCTCTAATGACCAAATTTACCCGAGGGAGCTTGGAATAGAGCCGCTGTATGTATCGCTCACCGTGTTGTTTTGGTAGAATTAGCAATAATAATTATAATAATAAAAAGTTTTGAGGCTGAGAATGGAATGAAGTAAATTGGCAAAGGAGATGGACTCCACCTTCCCAACTTGTCGACACCTTCTTGACCAAATGTGATTGATGATTGGATTAGCTGACATTGATCATGGTGGAGCAGAATTTAGTTCTCTGGAATTGGCACTGGCTCTGTGGATGCAATTTATGCTGTACCTCTCTGTCCAGGCCAGAGTTTTTGACCTTGACAGTCCCATCTTTGGACACGGAGAACATGTCATGAGCTGGGATCTGTTCTATGATGGTATAGGCGATTTGAGAGTTCTGGTTCCCTGGTTCGTCAGCATCGGTTGCAGTTATTTTCATCACTGAAGTCCCTGTAAAACAGCATCAAATGAAACAGTCGTTAAACTTAATGTAGGTTCGTTCTACTATCTTCAGTCTGGTGTGCTCTGATGACAGCAAACTGAAAGCATTAGATCCCACCCTGGCTAATGTACCATGTCAGAAGGAGCCAAACCGAGCTCATTAATCTTGAAAACCCAAGTGATGTCAAATTGTTTACCAGAGCTGCAAACTGCCACATACCTTTGTAATACCAGTTCAATCCGTTTATAAAGCTGTTTACACACTGTATGAATCTTTACAAGCAATTCATTTTTATGATTCTATAAAAAACATTTTCTTGTTTGGTGTGTTGATCAGGACTTCCCTCTGGGAATAATTAGAAGGCTTGGTATCGAGCTACATAAAGATGCACTCCCAGCATCTGTGGGATTTGACTTTGCCATCACATAACCGGATGGAGTTTGTACATGAAAGCAGAAGCACTCACCGACAGCACTGCGCTCACTCACACTCCCGGGCTTCATTTCTCCAAACACTGGCTTGTTGTCGTTGACATCCACAACCTTGATCCGTATGTCAATTTTTTGCTCTGCGTGTCTGCCATCTCTGTACTTAGCAACACCTGACAGCTGAAACAGAAATGTTCCTTAAATAACGCTTTCTCCACCATCTCTCTTAGCACGTACATAAATAGACATTGACATTAATGTGTAGTAGGAATCTAATCTAATGTGGGAAAAAGTAACGTCAAAGTCACAAAGTACAATAGAATGCAACAGAATCACTCACAATGTACGTGTCGATCATCTCCCTGTCGAGCTTTTGGGTCACACGAATGAATCCAGTGTTAGGGTCGACTACGAACACATTGAAAGGCTTCTGATTCGCACCGATGCCTTCTAGGGAGTATTCAATCTCATCCAAAGATCCAACATCTGACCGAATCTAAACAAACAGGAGAACAAGACCTGATCATTTCACTGCACTGGAGAAACCTTTAAAGACAGATACATGCTTGTCTTGTCTGTGATAAGATAGTCCGCTCTTAAGTTAATGGGTCAAATTAATCAGTGACTCACCTTAGCAATGAAGTCCAGTTTAGTGTAGTCTTCATTTTCCTTCAGCGGCTTTGGAGGGAGAATCCATTCTCTTCTTTTTCTTACCAGATTGTCTTTAGAGCTAGCAATCACCGCGATAACAGCCTGCAACACAATCGATGTAGAAAACAGATTCATCTTGGGTCCAAACATGTTTATCAGGTGATAAACCTAAAGAAAACGTTCCAGTGTCCTGCTTCACATCGTGATAATAGTGTTGTTACAATTGTTACAGAGCGAACAATAGTTTGTGGAACCTTTACAGTTTTAACTCAGTGATTCTCAACTGGTGGGACCTGTTATCAGTGGGTCGCGGGCCTTTGCCTGAAAAAAAAATCCTGTGCTTTTATTTTGAAGGTGATTTTTGAATACAGCGGAGTGCCGTTTATTCACACTCCTTAACAATATTAGGCGTTGATGCCTTGTAATGCTAATATCAGCAGAGGATGAACTGAAAACTAACTCTGTCAAATGACACTATAAGTATTGAATTGAAGACATGTCGGATGACATCAAACAACAGACCACAGCTCGAATTTAGGCAAGTGGTCATTTTGCATTACAAATGAACGAATCTACAGACATCACAAACAAAGCAGTTTTACTCGTTTACGTGAAACATGTGTGGGACGGGGCTTACAGGAATGTCTTTGCACAAGAGAGCTCCTACACTACGACTGCAGAGGACACGTTCAGCTCAGGTTCAAACTGCTCCATCTTTTCATTAAATACATTTGAGAAGTTGAAAATGTTCCTTGATTTGGGTCGCGGCTTGTCATTAAGGGGTGATGGTGGGTCCCGCAGCCAGACCAGTTGAGAACCACTGACATGAACTAAAATAGTTGCGTAGCAATATGAGTTAGAGGGAGAAATATCACATTTTAAAATGAAAAACACATTTTCACAGTTTCAATCCTGTCAATTGTTCATATTTCTCTTGTTATATGCCAAAAATCTGTCCAAAAATCAGATTGGAAGTATTTTTACATCCGTCTTTTCTCTCTTCTGTAAAACGGTTTCAAATGTTTGATGACTCATCCTGCACTTAGAGGCGTTTCTAAAAAAATCATCCAATCAAATGAGACTATCTAGCAACACTGGTCATATGATACCCAATTCATGGATCATAGCTAACAGAGCAATATCAAGAGGTGTGTGTTTGGATACCAGTGGTTTATCTGCTCCAGCAGCTGAAGGCTGACGACTCGGCGTGAGGACGTTTAGACACTTGTTGGCAACAACCGTTTTGAAGACACATAATAGCTTCTAAATTCACCAAAGGGGTATTTACTGATGTATTTCATATCCTAAAACAAAACATTGAATCAGGATCTTGTGTTAACCAAAGAACTTCAGGCATCCAACCAAAAACACAAGAAATAAAAAAACAGTGACTTCGAGACGAGGGCAAAAATGCTGACTCATGTCCAGGCTATCGGACTGATTTTCACCGTGAAATACGTCTCAGCACAGAAGCTACAGACGTCCGCCATACGTTTCACTGGGACTTGAATAACAAAAGGCCAGGCTGTGTTGCATCTCAGTGATTTTGAATCCATTTGTTAATATCTTTTATATGTTCTGCTGATGACAATATGATTTGATTTTGAGAACAGACTTTTATGCTCCTACGAAAATTTTAATAAAGAAATAACGAGGAAGGCAACATCTTTTCAACTTACTGAGGGCTCATTAAATATAAAAAGTCCAATGTATTTGCAGGAAAAAGCATAACAACCTGTTAAGGATTATGCTAAAGTTTTAGCAAGTGGAGCAGAATGTTTCTTCCTCACATTTGGAGCTGTAATGGTTACTGCGAAAAAAGAAATTCTAACATAAATCTCCCCTTTCTTGCCTTCCCATCATCTTTAAGTATCTTGTTCAGATTGAAATCCTCTGAAACTTCAAAAGCCTAATTTCAATTTTCAATAGATTATTGATCTGATAGTTTGACCTGTTTGTCTCTCCTTTATCTTTAGTTTGAATAAAATGTCATGAGCTCACACAGGTGTTTCCAGTTATTCTGGTTGACTAAGGGCCCTACCCAGTCTGAAGCTGGTGGAGCAACAAGTCATCAAACTCCATATGCTCAAAAGAATGAAAACTAAATTGCCGCGCTCTAACAAGAACAAAATAAACGTCGGGTAGTCAGCGAGGTGTCAGCAGTCTGAAAACGCCCAGACGGTCCTGAGAAGACCTTCAGCACACTGTTCATGTGAATAAAGAAGGCAGAGATGCATTCACCTCCTGCTGCTCTTGCAGGCTTCAGTCTGGCTGAAATTCGACCTGCCGGTTTGAAGAGAGAGGCTGGGCCTGACTTGTTGTTCAGGGCGTACTCACCGCTGCCTGTTGCTGCTTGGTGAAATAGTACGAGTGTAACAACGACGTGTGTGTGTGTGTGTGTGTGTGTGTGTGTGTGTGTGTGTGTGCCGCCAGAGTCGGCTTGGCCAGTCAACGAGTTGAGCCGTCTTTTGTCATCAGTCCTCGTTGTTGCCATGCAGCAAGAGAATGAACCTGGCCCTCCACTTCTCTGAGTCAATGCCCAGCCTTCACAAGGGCTTCATTATTGGTGACAGAGCCTTGGCATTAAGAAGCTTTTTTTTAAGGGGACAGTCACAAACTGACAGACTGCGCACAAAAGGCAACTACAACAGTGACGTGAAGCGACACAGTACATGTGGGCCTCAGAAAGAGACCATCAGGACTGTGTAAGAACGTTAGCTGCTTTTTTTTAGCTGACTGTATTTACTGAGCGTGGGAGTTGGGATAGTTGGTTTCAAATGAAGTACATTGGTGAAGCCCTTCACATTCTAAAGGCCTATAACCTGGAGCCTGAGGACAGAGATAGAGGTGGTTAAGGAGGCAGAACAGGACTTCTTAGATATTTAGACTATAGCTCTCAGCAGTGGTTAAGTGTCCCACATTGTCCCACACAGATATACTCTTTGTCCCACGTGTGGTTTGTTGGGATCTGCCCAGCCTGATTCATTTTGGCTTCATTCCACAAATTCAACTTCATTTGAAATCATTTAAAAACGAATGCTTGGCTTCTTGTATTTACGGAGAAGGCAGCATGCTCCCTCAGACTGGAGACATCTATTAGATTAGTAGCTTGGCCCCTTCAGCAAAATGCATGGGATGTGAATTCTGGCGTGACTGCACCTTACAGCAGGCTTATAACTCTGTAGTGAAGACACGCAACGTGTTTGAATTTTGGTCAAGTTGAACTCTGTAAGCATAGAGCAGTGGTTCTCAACCAGGGGTCCTTGAGGGACTTCCTCCACCGTTATCTCCTCAAGATGTGGTTGACAACTTTCCAATTCTGGTCTTAATCATATCTAACAAGCCAAATCTGTTCAGATGGAGGTCACTGAAGAGAAACCGCAGAGTCCTTGACGTGAGAAAGGTTAAGAGCCACTTGAATAGAGTACTGAAAGAACTTCCACCTGTCTGGTCAGGTACTAAGAGGCCGACACACCCAGCAGGTTTAACTGAGCCTCACCTGTTCAGCCAATGTATGGGCATGTCGGGACGCTAGCCTCTCTCTCACCTGGATGATTATTAGCGCTGGGTAACATTTCAAATATTACGATGCCTGCACCAATACCAGTCCCCTTAAAGCGGTACCCATACCAATAGAGTATTTCATTCTACAACTTTCATTCAACTTCATTTGATACCCATCGTGTGACTGGAAGCATTCAGTTGCGTGCAGTACAGCCGTACTCGGCACGCTGTACTGCCGACTATAAAAAAATACAACTGCGCCACACTCGACTCCGCCACACCACAGACTGTATGGGTTGTAGCTGCTGTGGTAGTTGGCCAATCACAAGTCATATTAAATCTAAGAACGCTCGTGATGATTGGCTGAGAGCAGAACCATACAAATAGTCATTTTTTTCTAGATCTGGGCACAAAAAGGATCAATTGCAGACGCTATTTGACCGGAGAAGTGTCGGTACTACTTGGTACGGGGTTATTATATTCTAATAATTCTTCATGAATAAATTATGTTGTGTTGTTCTGAATATGTACTTCCAATACTCACACCATGAAGAGCACAAATCTGAATTAGGACTTGATTTGAATCAACAGGCAGCATCAAAGCGCAGTATGGTCAGAAATAGAAAAATGAAACATAATACTTCGTCATGAATAGTCTGGAAAGTTTTTTTCCATAAACTTGTGTTCATGGATCTTTTTTACTGATGCTCCCAGCATGAAAGGAAAGGAGTTGGCATCGCTTACTCATTTGCTTTTTAGGAAGAAGGAACCCTCATGAAAGGTTTGTGACGTTACAAGAGATCATAAATAATAACAATGTTTTAAAACACATTTTAACAATCCATTCTAATCCCACTGGCCTTCATAGTTATGATAAAATCATGATTCAATACAAAGCAGGTGTAAACAAGCAGAGGGGTGCTGGATGCACATCTCAATGAGGAATCAAAGTATGGAAAATGATGTCTGCCTTTTTTAAATTAAATATACCAACTCATGTAAACACGCTCTCACAAGTCAGGCTATGACACCGCCTGAACACACCTGTGCGTTGCCATGGCAGCCAGGTATTTGTTCGGATCAACATAATACATGATAATTAGCCGGGGGTGTGAGGGAGTGCACCTAAACATCATGTGCTCTTTTAGAATACCTTCTGGAAAGGTAATCTGACTGGAACTACTTGTTTCCGGAAACGGATTCTGCGTACAGGTAGATGACTGTGAACACTATGACTGTGATACATTTCACTCAGTTAGTCTACATTAAGAGTTCAACAAAAGACAGTTTCCAAACAGAAGACACAGCCGTTAAAAGACGGACCGGTAACTCGCTCCACTCACCGTCAGTAGTATCAGGACAAACACAGAAGAAAACCGATTCATGGCTGGTCCGGGTCCGTAACAGGAGGATCGCTAGAGTCTCAGTGGCGCTGGTTAGAGTCCCAGACAGAATGTGACCTGATGGAGACGAGGGGGAGGCTTATGAAAGAGGAGGAGTGCTCCACCTCACACACACATGCACACACAGACACACCCTTCAGGAGAAAGTGTGTGTGGGAGGGGGGGAGAACTACTTCCACTACTCAGTGTTAACTTATTACAAAGAAAAGAAAAATAGAAGAGACTTCAGCATGGATGGATTACCGAACGGCCTACCAGGCACAGAAACTACCAACCAGGAAGAGTCAAAATGACCACAAAATAACACAAAAGGACTACAAAAAGACTACAAAAAGGACAAAACTGCAACAGAAAGACTCACACTGACTATGAAGAGGGGAAGAACAGCCACAAAGACACACAACATGACTACAAGAGATGCTAAACAGCTGCAAAGAGACTCATAACAACTAAGAAAACGAGCAAAACAATCAAAGACACACAAAGCAACTACACAGAGGCACCAAATGACTACAAAGAGACTTCAAAGAGACAAAAAGCAACTACAAATAGGTCACTGACTACAAAAAGACACGAAACAACAACAAATAGAGACTATAAACTATAAAGTCTCTGTGTTGCTCCTGTGTTGGGCCTTTTGCATGTCTGTGCCCTGGGGCCCGTTGATGGACTTCAGTAGCAATGAGTCAGTCAGCTACTGATGGAGACCTCATGTTCTGTGAATATCCCTCTCTGATGGATTTGTTTGTAGTCAACACATACAACCAAGTCAACCAAAAAACGAAGTAAACCTACATCTGAGTTTTATTTTGAAAAGACACGATGCATATGCTGGGTCGGCCTGCTTGACCTGCTGCCACCGCGACCCGACCCCGGATAAGCGGTGGAAAATGGATGGATGGATGGACGATGCATATCACCAGCAGAAACTGACGTCCAAGATATCTGTCGTTTGATCGGTTGCCATGCCAACTATCCCGGTAGTGAAGTTAACCAGATTTGTAAATGTTTCTGTAGTTGTTGTCTGTGGTTGATGTCCATGTTATTTTAAGTGGGCTGTTTTTAAAGAGGAACCTATTTTCTGATTTTCACACCAGGACAGTCTACGAACAAAAGGCTTGTTTAAATACAAGGTGAAATATACAGTGTAGAGGACTTTCTTTGACCTTGGGTTTTAGCAACAAGATAAATGATTTAAAGAAGTAATGTTTGGAATTGAAGGTTTAGTTTTACCTCACCAGTCGGCATAAACAGACAGTAGGGCGCGGCGTTGTTTCTCCTGTTGAATGCAGGTGTGTCAGTGAGTCATAGCCAGGAAATGAAAATGTTATCGATGTCACTCAGTGTCTTTCTTGGGAGTTTTGGTGCCATTGGCAATCTGGCACATGTAAAGAGATTCTGAAAGTGGTTGGTATCTCTGTGGTTCTCTTTCTTAATTCAGAGGAAATCTGTTTTGAGATTTCCAAAGAAATTCTGTTTCACTTCCCAAACTTTTACTTTCGCAAATCCACAAAGACAGAGCCACCAAAAAGAAGCCAAACGTTGAAAACTGTTGAAAAGATGAAAGACAAAGAAACGGTTGTGAGTCATCCTCCGAGATGTAAGCCACAGAACAACATCAGACATTTTAAGTAATGCAATCAACTGGAAAAGAGAACTGGAATAAAGATAAAAGATCAAACTTAAAATGTGTTCACCGAAAAAAGTCACCAATAATCCTTTATTGTACAAGAAATCTGTGTGAGTAAGTAAGTAAGTAAGTAAAATGTATTTATAAAGCGCTTTTCACAGACATTAGTCACAAAGTGCTTAACATGAGTGGAATTACAAGCATAAATAACACAAAGTGACCATGTAAGGGCCAAAAGTTGACATTTAAGACGACAAAAAACGTGTACAACTAGAGTAAGTACAGCAGGTCAGAGGTGAAGTAGGGAGGTGAAGCAGGGAGGTGCTCAGGAAACGGATGGATGTTTACAATGGACACCTTGGATCATAAATGTACTGTTCCCCTTGTGTTGTCTTACAAATAGTTTTGGCTAATATGGAGCTTTGTTTCCAACCTTGGAAAGACTCATTAACTGCAATTAATGTGGAAGAGAAACATCAGAAAGCTAACTTAACTGATCTATAAAGCACTAGTAACTGCTTAAACAAGTAAAAGCATAGTTTACATCGTATAAACCGTTTATAAACAGCGTAACGTAACAGCGTAACGTAACAGCGTAACGTGTAACAGCGTAACGTGTAACAGCGTAACGTGTAACAGCGTAACGTGTAACAGCGTAACGCGGAACAGCGTAACGCGGAACAGCGTAACGTGTAACAGCGTAACGTGTAACAGCGTAACGCGGAACAGCGTAACGCGGAACAGCGGAACGTGTTAGTGGAACAGCGGAACAGTTACTAACATGAGAATGAAGAACCAATTACAAATGTAACATGATATAATTGTTTCTAAGATTCAGCACATGAGATTAAAGTGAAGGTGGTGAATATCTTCCCCAATGTGTGCCCAAATATCCCAAAATAAATGCATGATGATGAAATGTATTGTTGGGAAAAATAAAAAAAAAAACATGTTCAGGTGTGCAGCTCGCTGTTACCAAGAACCAACAAACGCACTGCTGTGTTTTCCTCTGCGCTGTGACATGATTGGTGTGGCCTTATGGGTGGAGTAATTCTATTCAGTGGTGAAAACCGGTCTGTCTGCTGCCTACTGGAAAGCATGAGTAATCACACAAACAAAGGCAAAACAGAGCGAGGAAGCAGTTTAGACATGTCTAGCAATGTTTACTGAGAAACTACTCCAGCAGGCAGAGTGACGCTCCCTGCAATCTAATGTTGAGAGACAGTTTCTCATAGGAAACACCTACAATCCTCTGTGTGTTTCCCTCTGGTTTGTCAGGTCATCGTGGCCTTCCTCTATTACCAGGCAGTTCCCTCCACATTCCTCCTCCTCCTCCTTTCACCTGACTGAAACATGACCCTTGAGTAATGGAACCTGTGGCACTGCAACCTGAGAGCTCAGGTCAGCCGCTCAAACAAAGTCCACACTGTTCACAGAATAGTGGGGAGCTTTGAACACACTTTTTAAATCATCACTGAAAGAAATGTGAATTGGAGCAGAAAGTAGTTACAGAAATCCTTTTTTTTTAATCTGAGGTTGTTATTAAATGTATTATAAAGAAACAAAGGTTGAATATCCAAACTATTTGATTTGGCTGCACAATATTTATTCAAATGAAGATTTTGAAGACCTCCTGTTTCTAAAGTATTTAAAAACGAACAGGTCTTCTTTGTGTAATCTCTAGAGACATGTAAATAGTGCTTTTATCAGTGAACTATTTGTGACAGTCACGTGATCGTGCACGCCAAGTTACAAAAATTTAGAGGTGCACGACCAAGTGTGGCGACTAATTTTTCTACGCACCGTCCGTGATTACGTCATAAGAACTTAGAAAGATTATCCAAAACACAGTAGAGAAAACATTGTTTGTTTTTTCTCACTTGCCTCTCAGGGCTTCCATAGAGGTCAATGTTGTGTACCAACATCTGTCATCACCAACCTGTCAGGACATCTGTTACTTTAACTGTCTCTGCTCCACTGTGCCACAGGCTGATGCTATTCAGTCAGCTTGACGTCACATGTGGGAAAGTATCGACTGTGTTGGATCACTGGGCGTTGTCCTTAAATTGTAAACGACAATTTCTTGAGAACGCGACGCCACATGTGAGGCATGTAGGCAGTGGCTGGCTTTAGGCACAGCTTCTCCAACTCTAACGCAACAATAGGCATGTTGCAATGCAGCCAGGGCTCAATGCTAAACTAAGTAGGCAACGTACAGTAAGCTCAACAGATCACAACCACCGTTCCTCTTTTCAAAGAGAGACAGAGAGCAGCATCTATTATCCGTGCTGCTCCATCTCACCTGCATCCTCCAAACACATTCAAGAACTCACATAGTGATGCTCAGGTCTAGATGTTCCTACAGCAGTCACAGAGCTCTGAAGTGTTTACCAAGTGAGAAGAAACTAAGAGTGACTGATGCCAACACAAAAAGATCAAACAAACAGCAACTCCTCTGACTATTCCTTTAATATTCCTGTATGTTGTTGTGTGGATTCTTTGAGCGCTTCATCAAACAGCCGATCCCTTTCTGTTGAGTCTAACTGTCGAGACATGTGATACAAATGGACAATTCTTTGACACAAGTGTCTCTGACTGATATATAATTGTAATATTTACAGCTGTGCCCCAACACTACATTCTCATTTTAAGCAGGTTTTCAATGGTGCTGTTGATGGACACTAATGTTATTATCTCTGCCAGGAGATTATATATTTGGTCCTGTGTGTGTCTCTGTGTCTGTCCACGACTAATCTGGCATCCCACTCGACTCATCAGTCTAATATTCTTTGTGCTCATTTATGTCTGTATGCTCAAGGACCGTGTGTTTTGAAAACACATTCTATTGACAACATATTTGACTGACTGTTTATAGCCTCGTTGACTGCTGTCTCCTCACTCCTCTTACCCGATTAGTAGGGGCCTTAAGTGATAAACGCTGACTCCAGTCATGTCAGTAGGAGGAGAGCTAGCTAGCTGTTAGCAGCCGATGGGCAGCATATTCCTACAGTGTGTTTGGCAAACAAAGATAATAGCCATTGGGCTAATACAGCTAGCAGAACTAAACAGACAACATGATTGACAAGCCTCCACGTGACACGTTAGCTGCACGGAGCCGGCGCAGACGTCACAATAGGTTAGCCGTATCTGTTGTGTGAGACGTGAGTGAAAAACGTGTGTGATGCTCTCGCAGTCTGGACGGGGGGGTTAGACAGTTGTGGTTTGTATTGATTCAAACATTACAGCAGTGGTCATTGCAGACACACCTGGCAGAGATCTACACTCTACTGAGGGCTCTTTTCTAGTTCAATAATGTGTTGCAGACAGAAATGGAGAACCTGCTCACTTTGTCTAAATGTGAATGTAACACAGGATCCATGTCTTTCGTGGCTGTACATGATGGATTGTGCAGATAGTGCATTGACTGAGCAGCAT